GTGTGTGTGTGTGTGTGTGTGTTCGCGCTTTTTGTTACTCACTTTCAACTCAAGAACCAGAAAAGCTAGAGAAGGCTTAAATTTTAAAGTAGTGTTCCCTGTCCAAATACAACTTGAATATTCCAAATTCTGCGTTCAAGTATGCGTAGTTCTCACGTATAGGCATTTAAAAATTTTTGCGGGAAAATTGCTCACTGAATAGCTAGATTACTTTCAAATAACGACCGTTAAATGGAAATTGTACATTTACTTTTTGCAAAATTTATGGTGACTTGTGCTAGTATCCGCAAAAGGTAGGTGTAAAGCGACAAGCATTCATGCAGTTAATGACCTGAGTACTTCAGTCTGGTGCAAAAACGTATGATTATACCGGCAAGCCTGGTGCGCTTCTGCCTGGGTTTACTAGTGAGGTGTAGGAAGTTCTTTTGTGCTTGCACAGGATATTATGATAAGACACTGGAGTATGCCTTAATTCGGAAGAATCGTTTAGGGGATGTGCGAGATTTGTGCTGAACTTCTCTGAAATGGTCGGATGGGCGGAGTACTAATGGAGGGAGGAGAGCTAGTTTAATGGATAAGCGGATAATGATTTCAGGTTGCGGAAGTAAGTCGGAAGTGGAAGACATTCATTTCACTGGACTGCTCGATGCTCAGTATTTGTATCTCACGCCGGCTTCAGCCAAATGCCGACAGAGTTCTACTGCTTATGGTGCCACTGGCAAGAACGTATCAACTGTTGGGCCAGTGCCTGGAAGTTCTGTCGAACTGCATCTGGACAGTGCAATTTATGGCGATAACGCTGGAATCCAGTCCCTGTAATTCCTCACTTTTCACTGATGGGAAAATTTTATCGATAAACGAAGTAACAAAGTCAAATACATGCGCCGAAATGCTGCTGCACGCCTATTTTTTTGCACATTACTTTGACTACTGCCAGTGCTTTTGTCCACAGCTGAAAAGTTTGTGTGTCCAATGAGTTTTTACTGCATTTTTGTCGGCAAAAAAACACGTATTGTAACGGTCCTGTCTGTGTATATGCGCGCATTTTTTTTGTATGTCTGTGTGTGTGTATGTTTTCGTCTTTCCGGATATTTCTACTCGGCAACCAGATAAGCTGTGGTGCTGATATTTTGCCAGTATCCTCCCTGGCTAATTGCAACCTCAGAAAAAGATATCAACTTCCGCACTCGTCTGCGAATTACGTACGGGCATATTAAGATTTTGCTGGGCGAATTACAAGGTCGGGGACGATAAAAGCTAGGAAGCTGAAATTTTGAGGGAATGCTGTTTATTCCTTGGTAGTCAAGACTTTTCAAATTCAGCCTTCAGATATGCGAGATTCTCACGAAAAGGCAAAAAACTGCAAACTCAGAAACGAAAAAATCTAAAAAATTGAAACTTTGGGGAAATATTTCCTACGTGCACGACCAAAAGTTTTTTTTCTCAACTTTTGCAGTTGTGAAGTTAAATCACTGCAACAGACAAAATGTGCAGAAGTGGTCGTGTTGAAAAAAAAGCTTTCTGGACTGATGTAGTACGGCATGAAAGTGATTTATTTCTATTTCTTTTTTTTCTAGTGCCTTTTTTTGCTTGGTTGCTATCGTTTGTCATATTTAGCAATGGTGTGCTGCAAGTGCTCCGATACGGTGGCTATGGAGTAAAGGCGAGCGGCCTCGTTGGCTTGTATCTTGACTTGGATGTTTCCTGGATGCAGTTCATCACTGGCCGTGCGCCCT